ACAGTTTATTATGCAGAGATAGGAAACACTTAGCATGTAAAATGAATGTAGAAATTATTCCTGGATAGAAACACGGACATTTCCCACTCGTTGGCTCTTTCTCCTCCATCACCGGATCAGAGTGTAATTGTCAGTAATCAGGCCTGCTTGCTGCTGATAAAACCACTCTGAATGCTAGCAGCCTTCTTTGTGTGATGACTCAATTATTCCAGAAGTGCCTCATCAAATCTGCCCCATCAGCTGGGCTAATAAATAAGGAGAAGAAACTGGCCCCCCAAAGCAAATTATAAATCCATTTGCATTAACCATTTCACTGGTCCATGATCTAGGCAGAAATAAGCATGGCAGATTGTGTTAAGCTTATTTGAATATGTTTATAATGTTTACAGCATGCAACCTTTTTTTTTTTTCACAAGGTGTTGGAATTATCGGTCATGAATAGCATCTAAATGCAGTTATGTTAATTACAGCAAAGCCTCAGGCATCTTTGAGGGATAGTTTGTTGCTTAAATCAGGTGAAAGTTAAACCCTTCTGCTAGGCGAAATATGATCTTGCACATGGCATTGGAATTACTGCCACATTTAGAAGACAGGATGAGTGCAAGAGATGTGTTTTTACAGGTACTGGAAGGACAACTGCCTGTGTTAACAGGCTGTCTGCACTGGTAATGTGGCATGTTCTTCATATCAGAATAGAAGTAAGTAAGATAAAGTTTAGCATTATACTTGGGAAAGAAAACACGAGTTGAATCAGCAGTAATTCTGATTCATGTGTATTATCTACCTAATGAAACAAGTGGAAAGAGGAGAGCTCTGCCCCAAGAAAATTCCTTTCTGAAACTCAGGTTATATAAGAATTATGTTTCTAAGTAGACCGCTTCAGATTTCCAAGGCTGCCCATGCAGTAGTAGCATAGTGAGGGTGTTATAGTGAAGCACTGGAAGGCCAAATGAAATTCATTTGTTTACTCATGTGTTGACCACCACACATGCACTTAAGGATCATACTGAGGTGACCCATAGGTTTGTGCAGAACTTCATGTGTAAGGTTATGTACTTCAGTCTATTCAGGGTAAAGATCTGGCTGCACTCAAGAGCTCAATATTATCTTCATTCATTTGTAATGGCATCTTTTGTTTTCACATGTAATACTAAATGCAAATACTAAATATCTTGTTATTTTGTTTTGAGAAAGAGAAATCACTGTCCCTGTAGAAACATGAAAAATTTTTAGGGTTCACAGTGGTGACCACGCTGGATTTGGTTTCCTTCCATTCTCAGCAAATCACAAACTGTTGTGATCGTTCATTTTCATATTTACAATATACCAACTAGTGAGGTGATAAATGAGAGAAAATCAGAGTCATCTGTTGGAAACGATATCCATTACACTCAAAAAAGTTTTTTTGGGCCTTTTACAGATGTAGTACAGCTTTGTGTGTTGCAACTCTGACAGAGAATACAACCTTAGACTTACAGTGAGATAATTTTTGAATGTATGGTATGTCTTTATGCATTATTAAATGCTCAGGAACTCTCTATTAATCTGACATGAATGAATAGACTTTTACCCATAGATGATGGTCAGCAAGAATGGTTGCTTGAAGAGATTTGTCACACACATCAGATGTTAAGGATCACTGCCCAAATGGTGATTCACATCAGTATCCTGAAATGACTCACAGATCTCAGTAGGATAGCACTTCAGAGTCAGTACAAAATTATGTTGCACTGGAAATGGCTATAAACTAAAGTATGAATTGCAAAGGTTCCAGGTAAATTCACTGAACAATTACACTGACAAATCAAGCAACTCATTTATTCAGCTTTGGGGGTTGATAAAGTTTATTATTCTAGCTGAATTGAGGTGCTGGTTGAAAAGGGTGAAGGTTTTCTTTGTAGGCAGGCAAACTTCACCTGCAGGATTTAAAAAGAAAAAAAGTCTGTTCAGATATATAAATCCTTTTGAATTCTTTACTAAATCAGATAAATGAGTTAATGGGAGCTATTAATAGATTGGGCCAAATTAAGATATATGGGGACTAAAGGGGAGTCATCCCATGAGAAAACCTTGGTTGACAAATAAGTAAGTTAGTTCTACCAGATTTCCATCAATGACAGTCTTATCATCAAAGTCACCAATAACCTAGATAGATGTTCTTCATGGGCTCTTGAGGCTGAGATCTTAATTTTTTGAGTTAGTATTGCAGACTTTTACCTGCACTTCTTGCAATGTTTCAAAATTTGGCCTGGGATTAATTTTATAGTTCATAAAATATACTAAAACAAAGTGTTTCACAGTAATTTTTTATGTAAGATCTTAATGTTACTGTGAAATCAACACTAACTCCCATTTGCTACCTGAAATATTAAAGCTCAGCACTTAGATTTGAAATGTAAGTTGGTTCTTGGAGTCTGGGCATGAGTGATGCACAGTTTATATTCCACTGGGGTATGTCACATCCCATGACACAGCATAATCCCACACACTCTGTTTATAACATAACAGATGCATGACATTGTAGTAGACTTTCTATGAAACACTGTACCTTTAAATGTGGGTACTCACCCACAAATCAGCTGTATGGCAGCCAGCACCCTGTTGTGTGAAAGAAATAGAAATAGCACACTGAAATTTACTGACCAGTAACTTCTGTTGTGATTAAACACAGACAGGTTCAGGTTTTACAGGTTTTATAAAGTCTTGCTTTTGTCCTACTGTAGCACCCTCTGCTTTACAAGATATCTACAAGATATATACATATATAAGTATATATGTATATGTATATATCTACAAGATATATACAAGATATATTTTAGTGTGAGGTGTCCCTGCCCATGGCAGGGGGGTTGGAACTAGATGATCTTAAGGTCCTTTCCAACCCAAACCATTCTATGATATTATGATTCTATGATCTGATGACTTCACATGCAAGGCAGATGGGAGTAAAATAACAAATGGCATTGTTGCATGTAGTTTTCCAGCACAATCTTAAAACCTGTGCCCCAGCCCAGCCCAGACTCCTTTTCTTAAAAAGAGGATTTTCAATGTATTAGTTTATTATGTAAAGTTAAATATGAAAAGTTTTGTATATTTTCCTGTCCTTTGTGCACTTTTCCAAGTGGATCTCAGCTGTGCTGTCTTAACTCTCAGTCCCTTAGGATGAGAGAGACAGCAGATGGGGTTAGGGCAGAGGGCTGATGCTTCTGACAGCAAACGGCCTGGTTGTTGAGTGGAAGCTGTGAGCGTCAGGAAGCTCCTTTTCCCCAGAGAATCAACTAACCACTGAAGAAAGTTGAAAATGAGCCCTTTGAGAAATGCTATTAAAAGTAGTAAAAAATTGCAATTGTGCAGATGATGTGCTGCTGTGTGGTTATTCGGATGCTAATGAGTTTGACATTAGGGAACTCGAAGGGTTTACAGCTACTCCCTTATGTGATTTAGTGCTTTATTGGCAATCTTTGAGAAGATAAATGAAAAATATATTGCTGATAAATACATAAAACGATAGGATTTTACAGAAAAATACTGCTAAGTCTTAGACTTTAGAAAGAGCTTTGTTCACCGTTGCAGCTATTCTTAGAGATTTTTTTTTAGGTTAGTGTGTTTTGAACAAAGAGGAAGAGACAGGTAGAAGGACTCTTCTTGGTTTTGTTTTGTTATGAGGCTTGTTTGGTTGTTTTGTTTTTCCATGGACATTGGAATAGAATAACAGGGAAGGAGGCTTTGAGGATAAACATCTTTTTCCAGCAACATATTGGCTAGAAAACTGCTTTTAAAATTTTTTTTCAGTATTGGGCTGTTTTGTTCTAGGTTTTCTCCCTTCTGTATGATCTTGCATCTGTTACCTGTTTCACTATTTAATAAAAGTGTATTTATTTTAATTAAAAGTTATTGATGGGATGCAACTAATATTCTATCTATTGGGACTCAAGCGGAAATTGGTCACTCAATAAACTCTAGCTTCCCTGGAAACCTGTTTAGAATAAGCCTTCTTCAATTTCAGAAATGTAACTTCACAAATTTTACTGACAAAACTTCATCAGGTATCATTAAACAAATAGTTAAAGTTTCACCTTCAACTTCTAAAAGTTTATCTGCAAACTTTGGCATAATTGGAATACATTGAAGGAATAGATCCATTTTACTACATACACTGTAAACTATTTGAAAAGTACCCCTGAATTTACAAGTGATAGTAAAATTTTTATATTTTGGTCACTAATGTCAGGAGTGTTGCTAAAATAAAGCTTGACCCTAATAACAGCTCATGGTAAGATTTTTCCAGGTTGAAAGTGCCTAAAACTTTAAGCTTTTGAAGGGTTTGGGTATTCATTATTTCAGAGTACAAGGTCCTCAGTATTGTACACTCAGATATGAATTTCTACAGCTCTTCTTCCCTCATTGTTACTGTTTTAGCCTGAGTTTCCTCATGGAAAGTAATAAAAACCGGGCATGGAGAAATGTCAAGGATTTCATTCAGTTTGATTATGATGAGAACATTATCAGTCTGCCAAACCTTAAACTCTGATATTCAGAACTGGAAAAAAATAAAACTGAGGGATTTTCTGCTTTTACTAAAATATTTCAGAATGTTTCTCATTTATCTCATAGCACTTACCAAACTGTTCTACTCAGTCAAAGAGGTTCTTATGCAGTAAAAACATTTGACTAAAGATTTCTGCAGATAGAAACTGAGAATATTTGTCTGTGCAAGAACAAAAAATTTTCTTTGAACAGGTCTATTTCAAGCTATTGTAAAAGGTATTAACAATGTAAAGAAAGTACCATAGCAAAAGAAAAATTGCTATTATTTCTGCCTTTCAGAAGCATCATTGATGCCTTATATCACATCTTTAAAAACCGCATAAGAAAACAGTGCATTTAAAGTGTCCTGTTTCACCTGTTACGTCTGTGTTTTATTTAGTATAGCTGGGTTTTGGTTTTGTTTTTTTTGTTTGGGCTTTTTTTTTCCTTTTTTTTTTTTTTTTTCCCCCGAGAATGAATTTCAGGATTATCTGTTAAATCAGACAAGGCATCTTGGGCTGAGTAACGAATTTGGTCCTTTGGAATCTGCACGTATTTTCACCTGGAAACACGCAAAGGTGGGATAATATATTTACAAAAAATAATCTGAGTTAAAAATATATCTGTATTAGCACTAGAATGCTATTTGGTTTCATGTATAGTGTCTTGTACACTAGGACTATTTTTCTTGCAGAGCATTTACTGTTTTGAGAACAGCAATCTTCAACAGTTAGGTATAACAATACTGAACAATTTGAACAATTGAAAAAGATATAAATCTTTGTAAATACCTTGAAATTCTAGCTTTGAGGTTTCAGAACTAGACTCTGTTGGCATTACATACTGACAGGAACACAATTATCTTTGAATCTGTAAGACTCCAGGAGTAAGGATGTATTTCATAATGCACTGCTTAAATTTAGTCTGAGATAGCATATTTGTGATTTTTTCTTTTTAGTAATGCCTAATAAGTTTTTTTAACTATATATCAGTTGGGTGGGATAAAAACTTTGGTGTATTCATAAAAGATGTCAAGGTGTCAAAGCACTTATTTTCTTTTTGAATACTGACAGTTTCTTTCTTCTAAAATATTTAGTACCTAGTAGCCTAGGAAATAGTGACAAGACACTGAACTATGTACAAAATAAAAATCCAGAAAAAAAAAGCCTCCAGAAAGTAGGATCACACATCGGTCTGGGTTAAGCCGCATTTCAGCATTGTAGACTATATAATTTTTTTATATAATTTTTAAATTTCATTTAAAAAGCTAGCAGTTGCCCCTTAATTTCACAAAGCTGTGACTCTGCCCTCTAAACCCTTGGTAAAGAAGACTAATAGAAATACTTGGCACACGTTGGTTACCTAAGGGAATAATAGAACTATTTGCTGTAGTCGTTTGGCAAAAGGACATAAACATATGGCTTTGGTTTATATTCAACACTGCCAGTTGTGCAAAGTTGCATGGATGAAGTATACAACAGCAGTGACAACTCAGAAATCAGAAGTGAGAATCAAAATAAATCATTCTCATTACAAAGCTACTCAAGCTTGCCTCCAATTTAAGGTTTGTTTTGTTTCTACATATTTTCAAGTAGTGACTTCAATATGAAAAACATGTACTTCTCAAAAATATGCATATCATTAAAACACACTATAAAATGCCAAATTGTTGATGATATATATGTGTTATAAACATGCTTTAAAGTTTGCATTCAGTAAATGTACTTACTTACTTTAATTCCCAAGGATGAATATATCTGAACCAATTATTTACATGTTATTCAACTTTCACCTAGAGAAATTAAGAATGACATCATGTAAACTGAAGGAAAAGTTTCAAAAATAAAGATGAGATGACTCCTTGGTTAAGAATAATTAAAATCACCAAAAAAGGCATATTTTTAGTAATAGTATTCAAGAACACCTAGTGTGCAAATATTTTTTCTCTTTTCTGGACATCAACATGTTGTGAATAGAAAGATGAACAAGAAACAACTATGGCACAAGCAATGTTCCTAAAAATTTTGTGTTTGGATTTTGGATTTTTTTACTGCTAGTAATCAGAATTTATAAGCTTTATCTAGAAGTTGCTTTATGTGTACTTTGCATTTCTTTTTTCATACCGTAGTTCTCAGCCTGCCATCAATACTTTGTATTAAAAAAACCCATCATATAGTGAAAGATGCAGTCAGCACATGCATATAGAGACAACCAAATGATGCTGCATACTTCTGGACAGGCTATAGGAAATGTTCTTGTTTTCAGATTTATTTCAAAAAATCTTGTTCTTTATGACATATTCTATGTGTTAGATTCTTAAATGAGATATTGAAAAGAAACATTGCCAAAAGCACTGGAAAGCTTCCTCTGAGGTTATTATTTATTGTAGGCAGAGGCACACACAGTGTTGCGTCACCCTAGGACACAGTAGACCACAAACCTGTTTGAAGTGTTTAGCAGTGTCTGACTTCAACTTCGCAATTTGGGACTTCAGGATGGATTTGTGTGCCTTAAAAATCATCAAGCTATGGGGTCTTTATGGCTAAGTTCATTAGTCTAGTGACAGATGTTGTTGTTGCCGCTATGCAAACATAAGTAGTTTATAAATTAAAAATAGTAAAGGTATGCTTTTTTTAGACCTCTCAAAATCAGTTAAACTTCGTCATAGAGAAATAAGTTGATGGCCAACTGAATTTTGAAAATAAGATGTAAATTTTAGTTGGAAAATCACATCAAAATGTCCGCTTTTGTGCTCCTTACCTCTAGATAAACTGGTGATTTCTTTTCCTCTAGCTAGTTGTGCAAAAGGAAATAGACTGCCACACCAGCAGTGTGAAACCCTCTCCAATGAAGTCGTGTTTGTATAAACATTACAATAAAACTTAGAAAGTGAACTGCTCTTATATTAGCTCTTTCTGGGAGATGCATTTCAATTTTACCTATGTCAGTAGCACCAGCCTTCCCAAGTCATAGTTTATTTATTTCACAGTGATGATGTGATGTGCTTTAAAACTATCTTACCAAGACAGTAGTATCAATTTAGGTTTTGAAATTCAAAATTAAAAATGTGCAAGTAAACTAAAATAGTTGCTATTATTATTATTGATACTATTATAATTTATTGCATATGCCCTATTTTCAGCTGTTAGTCATATTCTTGGATCCCATTATAATATCAGTACATGCACATGTGCACAGATAGACTCCAGGCACAGAAAAAACAAACTCAGAGCCAAATCCTGATTCTTTCACTCAGGGAAGTATTTCCAGGTGCTGCTCTCGAGCCTGCTGACTGCAGTGGCATGGTACAAACAGAAGAAGTAGCATTTGGTTTCTGCAGCCAGGAACTCTGAAACAGTTTGCTCAGAAAGTATGATTGCTGTTATTCCACCAGTAAGTTCATCTGGGGAAACATGAATACCCTGTAGCAGTCACACAGCAAGTTACTCCACTTTGAATTTGTGGTAGCGTTGGTGACTCAGTCAATTTTCTAGTTATCGACTTACCCTGAAGTCCCAACCACTATTGAAGGAAAGGTGGAGGGAGGATCAAATTGAAATTCATGAAGTCAAACAGAAAGCATTCATAAACTTAGGGACATTTGTTGGAACATGCTTTCAGAAAATACTTCAACTTCAACATCCTCAGTAAATTTCCAAATCACAGAAACAGGGCACAACTGAAGCAATTCTAAGGCATACATGTATTTCTTAGCCTGCTTCCTAATGATTTGGGACTGCATAGCTGCCACCCCTCTGTTGCTGTGTTTCTGACTGTATCTCCCATTAATTCCTTTTGAGTCTATTAGCTAGTTTCAAATAATTTTTAAAAGAAAATGTTTAGATGGTTTTCAAACCTATCAAATCGGAGAATGTAGGTATATAACACCAAGATAAAGTGGAATTAATTCCGCTATTCACTTGTCATTTTTGTGAAGCTTGCCCTTAAGAAATAAGCACTATAAGTCCCAATAAGATTTTCCTGGCAAGGACTTAGATATTATCCCAATAGTCCTGGTGGTTACAAGAATTAGTAGTGTGCAAAGATTTTGTGCAGACATGGCCATTCTATTTCTCTCTTACGGCTTCTTTTTTCAAGACAGTGTATGTGCCGGGAGGCCTGACCATCCCCAGCTTTGAAAGCATGAAGCACCTTCCAGAATTCATCCAGTCTTTACAGTACACAGCAGTAATAAGATACGCCTCTCAAATTAACACCTTGATAACAATTACCTTTAAAACTTTGGATGGAATTTCTCGGAGTGTAATTTTTTTGTTGTTGCACGGGTGATTTAAAAGTTTGAATACTTCTTGCTAACCGTCTGTGGTTGTAATTTAATGTAAAACAATTACTATGTAGATAAAAATCAGAAGTAAGAAACTCTGTTCATTTTTCAGTGTCTCTGAAAGAACTATGAAAACTTGAAGATATTACACTTAAATTTTGAGCAAGACAGGTCTTTTGGCTGACATACTTAAAAGATTTCACAGTTTTATTCCATCATGTGTAATTTTCAAGTTAATGCACTGGACTTTTTGTAAGTTGTTTTTTATGCAAGAGAGACATGATGATTATTTTAATGTGACATGGACCAGGCTAAATAGTCCTATAAATTTTTGGTTGCTTAAACATCTTTCATAGTTTCAAATTATTACAAGGAAAGAAAATCAATAGAAGAATCACCTGAATTGATTTTATTGTTGGTTTTCACTCATTGTGCAGTTTTTAAATATTCATCACAATGCACCATGCTATTTAGACCAAAGTAACTGCTGTTCAGTAGAAGCAGTGGACACTTTTTGTTTCATAATTAAAAGAACAGCACTGTGATTGGTGTGGTATTTATTATGAAATGATGACAAAGGAGTACCAGTGGTTTTAATAGTTTTAGCTTACAGGAGCTGTTGTTAATTTTGTCCGTAGAGTTGCAGGTGAAATAATGCACAGTGGATAAATAGTCTATATTGGTTTAACTGAACATAATATATAGTGTGTTCTGGAGTTGTTTGTCTCAATAGACTATAGTAATCAAAAGTAATGAACCTATTATGTGCAGGACCTTGGAGAGCATAGAATGGCAGTAAAAGTGTGGCACATAAAAGGTTTATTAAAGGAAATTAAAGTCCATCATTGCCACACCTGCTCCCCTATTATAAGTCTATGGCAGGTCAGTGCCTTCAATCACAACTCGGCATCAGAGAAGAGAGCCATGTTTCCCATTACCATTGCAGTCACATTGCAAAATCTCATTCTCCAGGTTTTAAGGATAGTAACAAGTAAAGGCTGCCATCAGCCTTACTACATAAACACAAACCACTTATGTTCCTTTCCTGCTAATAATCAACATTGGATGTAAATTTAAACAAAGAAAAGATATCATTGTCTGGCTTTGAGGTGCTTTTTGATCAATTTATATTTTCATTTTAGATATTGCTTATCTGTGTTCTAGAATTAGGCTTCTTCAAGTACATGAATACCCTTTTCAAATGCTTGTGTTCTCTTCTGAAAATAGGTATTTTTATTCCAGTAGTTGTATACAATGTGCAACCATATATAACAACAAACAGAAAAAAAACAGGGAATTAGAGAAACTCTTTTTCTCCCCTAGAAAGGCTGAATTTTCTTTTTCTTTCTCAGGCCAATTTTGTCATATTCTGCAATGTTCTTTCAGGTAGGACCTTCAAAATGTCTTAGTTATCTGAGTCACATAAAGCTAAAAATAAAGCATCCTCAGATTCTCAGACCCTTTAAATGGAAAAAGGCACAAACATTGCTTCTTGTATCTTCCCTCAGCAGGGCAAATCAGTTATGTTGATTCTCAGAAAGGAAAAGTGAAATAATAGAATCTTCTATTGACATTGTTTTTTATTTTGCAATCTTTTGCAGGGAAAAATGCAAGGCATAGGCAACTTCTGGTATCCACAGAATACATTTATCTATTGCCCAACACAGTTATACATATCAGATACTCATGTCTGCATTTGTTCCTGCATATTGATCTGCAGAAGCACATGGGAATTGCTTTGTCTACAGTAGGTTTGATGATCACCTTTTTATAAACAGAGAAAGTGAAATTCGAAGCAAAGATAGAAAGTAACATACTACCAGAGACTGAAGAAGAACTTCAGAGTTTTGTCTAGACAAAAATTCCTCATGAGAGAAACTTCCTCACATGAAAATTAAGAGTTACTTTTAGAAAGAAGAGGATCTTGCCTCCCTAGACATGGTCAAAATTATACCGTTGTACAATCTGTTGTATGTCACTGCAGCTCTCCACACTACAACATGAAATCTTAATCCCTTTGAATTTCAGGGGTTTGTAATAAAATCCATGGATTGAAAACCTGCCCCTACAATTATGGGTCTGGGCCAGATCCAAGACCAGAAGGTGCATATTTCCAGCACTGGTTTAGATGTAGCCAAAAGTGTCATGAGAACAGCTGATCTTGAAAGGTCTCTCTTACATCAGCTAGAAATCTTACAGCATCAGCCTACTTTTGTGGGAGTGGGGGTGGGGGTGGAGTTTTTGGTTGTTTGGTTTTGTTTTTTTTAATATGAAATACAAAACTGGACACTAAGTTCTCCTAAAACCTCATACAAATCTTTAACTGTCTCTGACCAAAACTTCTGTAAGAAAGAGCTGATTAAGTGGTGAAACATTTCAAAGCTATACATGCATATTCAAGCAAGAAGGTTTCACATTTTAAGGATGAAGTCGTCAGAAATGCAGGTTACAACACACCTATTAAGATATGCTTCAGGTGCAACAATAATGCAGAGTGCCTATAGGCACTGTGGCTTACTGGAACCTTTTCCTCCAGGAGGTGGAAGGTGAAAGCAGCACTCAGACAGCATTGCTGTTTCTAACCTTATACCTTCAGCTAACACCTGTAGACCTTGTCATTAAACCTTACAGAGTCACTCATAACCATCACTTTATTAAACAAATCTGTATCATTAAAGGTATCTCCTAGGTATTTACTAGATATTCACAGATGGCTTTTTATCTCTTTGACAAGATTAATAAGGCATGATTATTCTTCTTTCTATTACTGTCTAGCCTTTGAAAATGTGGAGAGGAAAAAAAAAAAAGCATTGGAGACTTTTTTTATCAATGGCAAAAAGAATGAATTAAAGACTTTGTGTTAATATTACAGATGGATGCAGATGGGGAAAATAAAAAGCTGCGCACACGCTCAAAAGGAACCAAGGGTGAGTTAGCAAGCACGTTCCACAACCCTGTGCCAAACACACTATGAAATATGACAGTTCCTGTGCATAGTCCCTAATGTGCAGTAACAGAGTATGTAGCTTCCTTAGTGTTGCTTTTCTAATCAAAGCAGGACACAGACTGCCAGTATTAAGAGGCACAATGTCATTAGCTATGGTTTAAAGAAAAGCAGAAAAAAATCTACTGTATGCTATTTTGAGTTATTTCTCAAAGAAAATAAAGGTTATGCTTTTTATTATGCAAACAAAGATTTTCCATACAGAATAAAGCCAGACAATATTGAATGGATGCTTTCAAAATAATTTATAAAAGTTTGTCTCAGCCATCTGAACGTTTTTATATCTATTGCCATTAATTATCTGTAAATTAGTTGCATAAATGGTCCAGAAGTAAATTTACTTTAATCAAAAGGTGCAGCTGTATGCAGCAGAGGAGAACCCTGTACTTTTTCTAAGTGCTGGGGCTCTTGTTTTGTTTTGCAAAGTTATAACATAGTTGTATTTCCCAGCTATTCCTCTCTTTTTCTAAGGAACAGATGGAAATGCAGTTCTGAGAGATAAACAGGCCGTTAATGATCTCAGCATCTGGAAAACATGATTGACTATCAACACAGCCCTTCCAGGAAAATAACTTTTTATTTTAATTCATAACACATTTTGTGACTCTTGATAATGAGTGAAAAATTGAGATACTTAAAAATAAATGTCAAAGTTTTGCCTGCCCTATGAACATTTTTGCTTATGACTGTTTTCAGAGGTTCAAAGCACCCATCATTCACATTGATTTTTATGTGAATTGTGCACTCTTAGCATTGTGTAAAACAGACCGATTTAACTCATTGTCACAACTCAGTAGTTCCGGATTGTTAATATCATGCCTTCAGCTTCAAGTTGTGGTCAGAATGAAAAATTAAAGTGTGGTTTGGCTTAGTTCTCTAGCTTCAAATTACCAAAGGGGTGAAAAGTGCTAGACTTCACTCAGGAAAAGACAGAGGAAGGAGGTGGGAGTGCCACAAACCACCTGCAGAAAATAGGATAAATACAGACAAGCCTTTCTAAAGAAACATAATCATTATACTATCAGTGTTTTGATACATCCCCAAGTAATGTTCTCTGAAATGAGTGTAAAATTCATATGGATTTCAAAAGTATCAGAACAAAGGACTTGAACAAAGTTATTGAATAAGGAAGTTATTCACACTTTAGCGTTAGAGCATACCTTCTCTGTTGGTTAGGGCTGTGAGTTAAAACAGTCTGGCTGGCTTAGCAGACTTTAGTTCTATTTAAAAAGGGATTCATACACTTTTCACTCAAAAACCTAACAACACATTTTTAGTACTAATGAAATGTCTTTGTATTTTTTTATACACATGCACACACAACTGTAGAAATCAGGAACATTTCCCAAGAATTGGGAACAATTGAAGTTCCCTGTGAGATGTGAGTAATCCTTAGAACCACCTGTTGGCTTTGTCAGTATGCTCTATATCCTTATGCATGTAGGTATCTCTAAACACTAGCCCTTGTCATTCCCAGATTTAATTAAAATTCAGAAAAAGCAGAGGTTTGCTCTTCTATTTTCAATAAAAACTGGTACTTTCTCTTTTATTTTTATTTTTGTTCCACTGAATATCATACTCCAGGTTTTATGCATCCTAAAATGGCTGAGATGTTCAGTTAATGTTTGCCACTAGTAGCTACAGTCCTGTGGTTAGCATGAAATAATCAGCTGTATTTTGATAGCCACTCCTCTGCCATCACAGACAGGGAGGTGCAAGGTTGCAGAAAGCACAAATCTAGAAGTGTAAACTAATTAATTGTTTCCTGCTTTTATTAACAGTTCAAGTGGACTCTATAGCTCAAGAGCTCAGGTAAGAACTCAAGTTGTTTATTTTTTTCAGTATTATTTTCTGATTATATTGATAAATTCATACCAATGGTATTGCTATAAAACAGAGAATCCAGCAAATAATGCATTATGTAAAGATTTAGCATAGATCTGAAAAAGAGTACTTGCTGCAGATTCACTTTTTAAGTATACTGAGAAAAAAGCAATGTTAGCAATAATTATGCAAACATAATCAAAAGTAATGTAAAGTGGGTAGAATTTGGGCATGCTGTCTTTATTTTCAGCTTGTGACAGGGCATAAAACAAGAGTGTGTTTTCTGATCAGTCTTCAGTCTTCTTTTTCGTGTGATAAGTATCATATCAAGTTCAACACCTGAACATTCGAAGATGTATTAACATTTAGAAGGTTTTTTTAGATGGCTTTTATAAATTTCATAGTCTCTGTAAAGTATTGTAAATCCTAAATGTACTAATGGCTCATTCTTTCTTAACTTGCTGAGGTTTCATATTTTATTGAAGTAGCAGACAGTACTTTTCAAAATTTGCAGAAAGCGTGACAGTCCATTCAAATCCGGAAATTGTAGAAGGATATTTCAGATCACGAATAATCTAGTAAAATTTTAACATTAGTACCTTAATCTTATTGGGTGCACCAACTCTTAATAACTGGTCCAAGAGCTTAGAACAAGCTCTGGAAAGACCAGCATATTATTCAGAACCACATCTTAAAAAAAGAGTATATATAATTAAATTCCAGTTTCCTCTGGGTCAAGTTCATTCTTCATGTCCCTCAAGAAAAAAATTCTTAGAGTTATTAATCAAAATTACAGTGGGTTACGACTGCTATATGAATACTGAAAATATTTGGCAGAAACTCTTAAGAATTTTTTTTAAATTAGTCTATTTTGCCTGCACTCACTTTCATCACTTCCTACTGAACTGCTTTCTTAACCAGAGCAGGTATGTGAAGTACATGCTTGTGGGTTTATTCATCTAGGGAACAGAAACTTCATCATGAGATTTATTTGACCAAAATGCCACTCTGTCTTAAGACAAGGCATGAAATAGTCACAGGAAGTTATCTGCAGTGAAGATATACGATATTTTATGGATTTTTTTAAATAATAAACCTGAGCAAATTATAAGCTTCTTGTAGATATTCCGTGAACAGAAGTGGAGGCTAACTTTTTGGATAAATTATTCATGGTGAGTCACTCATTCAGTTCTATTGTGAATCTCATTTTTCTGTACGGCTTCAGTTTCCTGAGATTTAGCACTTCTCCTTTTTCCCTGTGAACCCATAATTTATGCACCAGAAGGATGCATTAATCCGAAGAGGCAGTCATCCAAAATTGAGGATGGTCCATGTGTTCCTAAGAGAAAAATGTTTGAAAAATAGAGGATGTGCAAGTTTCTGCAACATCAGGGAAGCTGTAATTTATGCATTATCAATTACTATAGCTTTTCTCAAGCCATTTTGCTTTTCCTTGTGAAATACATGGTATCTTACGAACTGCTGTGTAATAGATTGTCAGAAGTGTGGACTACCTCCATAAGAATACATACATTGGTTTAAAATGGTGAGCTAAACAGCCAGAAAACCCATTGCGCAGTCATCAACTTGGTATCTGTAATTTCAATAGTACCAAATTCCATACTGGATATCTTCACAGTCAAGTGGCTTTACTGGCATAAAAGTCAGATGATCAACTTTTATGATCTATTTGTTTATGAAAAACTAGATGAAGAGAGGCAGGAAGAGGTCTTTTGGAAATACAGTCTATGAACTGAGTTCCTGTTACTCATACACAAATTATTGTGAAAAAATTACTGAATATTCCTCAAGAATTAAAGACTGAAATAGTCTGTTGTATTCCCTGGATACAGATATTGGAACCACTGTCTTTTCTGACCAAGGTTCTAAATGCTGCCTCGGCTGAGATATTTAAATCCACGCTTAATTAATTTCCCCTTTTCCCCTGGCTTATCATATCTGACAAAGCACTTTTGCACTCCTTATTGAGTTTCTGTTACAAAGTGCCTTGGGATACTTCTACATGAAAGGCACTACATAAGCTTACATGCTTATATTGTTTTATTATTAGTTTCATAACATTGATTAGTTCTAGAGCAATTGTTAGCCTTTTCTTATTCTGTAAGTTGTGTTTCACAAAAGTAGAAAATTAAATAAGTGAAAAGCAAAACAAAGAGTTGTATTCACAAATTAGACACAATAATGCATGAAAATGTCTCTTTTCTAAATTTCAGGGGTTGAATTCTTGCTTAATGGAATTCAATGTCAAAAAATCTATTGATTTCAAGAAAGCTGAGATTTCGCCCAGAAATCTGGCCAATGGTGTTGCTATCATCCTTCTTTTCTTGAAAATAGACCCATCTTTCTGCATAAAAAGTATATTTTCAGAAAAACATGACCTTAAGGGACAAATTGAGTTTTATTTTTTTTCTGTCTAGTAAAATAACTACAAATTCTCTTGCACTGCACTGAGTTTTCAGGGGACAGCATGTTTAGATATTGAGCACCTATATACAACTCCTTTTTAAGTGTCAAACTTGCACTTATTTCAAGTAATTATATGCTTTAAGGAACCCCAAATTTCAGTATCATATAAATAATATTCTTTACATATGATTATTAGTAATTCTGCTGCGTTATTAGTTCAGATTTATAAGACTTTAAGAATATCTACTGTATATGTTGTAGTGTTGAAGCATAATATGCTAAACTTAGTAAGTCCTTCAAAAGAGAATTGCCCTTTCAGTCTTAATTATTTACTTGTGAAAAGCATGGTTTAATTTTTCATTTAGGAATTTGTGCTGTGGTGATTTCATTGGTAGCTAAACTACCCACAGGAAGAGATGAACTTTTTATTACAACTTAAACATAGCAAAATGCTATGTGGTAGAAGTAAATACTGAAGACAAGGGATCTCTCTCCCATACATTCAAGTTTGAATCTGGCATCTTTTGGGCATAACAATTCTGTTGTATCTATCTTCTGCAAAAAGCAGAAAGAAGAGGTGTTCTCTTAGATGATTTAGTCATGGACCACTGAAAGGACCAGGACCTTCAGCTGTGTTCAGGATTAGAATGAAAACCAAAGGAAAGTGAAGAATATTGGTGTGATGTATTCTCATTACTGTGTTCCATTTAACAGATGGGATACAGTAAGATGAACCATCTGTAGGTTATGGAGTGGCATCTGGGTCAGACTATGGAAGAGCAAATTGAATTGATCCAAGCAAGGGAGTACAAAAGCATAGATCAATTTGACTAAGTCTGTATCTGAACAGAAAGTGTACCTTTTCTGGGTTAGATACAGGTGGAACCAAGTCTTTCTGGTTTATGTCACTAATGATTAATGAAGACTCTACAAGGTACTGGTGTTTCAACTCATGGAGAATAGTCCTGCTCTTTGGTGTGAATAGTTACACTTCCTTTAGTCTCTGTAGTGCTGGATCACTTTTTCAAAAGGACTGTTTCTTCAAAAGTAAAGAAAGTTATTTTTTATCTGGAACTCTTGTTCCAGATGTTGTGAAACATTTTAGATATTCAAATAATTTGAATTATTCAGTGTGAATATATAGAGATATGAGTATCTTGAATGTTTTAAAAGAGAGAGAAGTAATCGAGCAGAGCTAGAGCTGTCTGGATGTGTCTTTGATAGAAGGAGTAATTGGACATGTCACCCCTTGCTGCTGTCTCGGTTAGGAGGCTGAGAAACCAGCAAAACAACCCTGCTGAAGTATTTCAGAAGGGTTACGTTACTAAAATGTATTCTTAAACTTTATCCAAAATGTTTGAGAGGTATGTTGATATAAGTAACAGTATTGACAGCATACTAAAAATAATTTTACTAACTGAAGTAGTTATTACTAATTCTACATTCTGCTAATGAAAGTAGTTATTATTTATTCTACAGTTATATGTTTCTAATTATATCTGAACTCTTGTTTCAGACAGTAATGTACTGAAGGTAGACAGTTTAGAAGATGATTTGGCCACTCAGGAATCATTCATGCATAGCTGCATTTAGAAAGGAATGATTCATTGGTGATTCTTTTTCTGAGCTTCATAAAATAAGGAGGTTTTTAACAAGTATTTGTATGAATACAAAGCAATAGCCTGGCAGATGACCTGAGAAAGAGGTGAAAGCAGTACTTAGATGATGGAAGAAATGAGCACAAGAAACAAAATCATACAAAAAGGCTCAAAGATTTTCCTCAGTAAGAATTGAGATTACAATTGATTTGTTAGATATCACTTTCACAGTACTCTTATCCCACAGCACTGCTTAAAAACGAGATAGAGACTGAGAAACCTGTTTGTTCCTAGCCTGCATTTGGAAAAATCTTCAGGTTTGTCCTTTGGACTTGGCTTCTGTTTCCACAGGAGTTGGTCATAGACTGATTTTCTGGAAACTGCTGGCAAAATGCACGTTTGTCATAATCCTGAATAAGCACGTTTGGAATAAAACTGAGGTGGACTCTGGCATTTCCTGGTGACTCATCTGTCTCCCACTGGCAGAGATTGTGGGACCCTTGCCGTCTTCCATGTTCTTTGTGGAGAGAAGTGTGTCCCTGAGTCCAAGTAGACTTAGTAGTAAATGATAAATGAAGACAGTCAATAGTTATATCTAATGCTAGGAGATTCTGGGTTTGTGTAGGCATATCTGACCTTGACAAAAAGCCTTTTTTTGTAATTGAAGATTACGTGTTGCCAGCATAAATTCCCATCTTTCCTCCCCAGTGTTGCCTATAGTGGTAGCTGGATGGGACAGAGTTGTGCCACCTTGTCATTTAAATATTTCTCCATGACACATCTAGATTAGGCATTTCACCTGAGACAAAGATCTATATCACACTGTTTATATTGATAACTGATCTTCTATTAAACAATGGACATTAATCTTAAGAGTCCCTATTCCCAAGATCTGTTAATTGAATGAATTAAGAGTATGTACTGCTTGCTTTCTAGCTTTGAAAAGGAACTTCCTCCCTAGCC